TGCTCCAGTCTGATTTTGCCAAAAATCATCATGAAATTAGTTGTTTTAGCCAAAATAAGATAAATCGCCATTATGATATCACTTTAATGATATTACAATCAAATTGCGTCAACAAAACAAAGCTTATATTGTCCTTTTCATAAAGGCCTACATTCATTTTTGTCATCTGACAGGCCCAAATCATACCTTGTCCTTTACCGATTTTGTCTTTTCCCCGATTGTGACATTTTGACTGAGTATGGATTCGGATCGTTATATATAGTAATGTATGCATAACAGGAGAAGCTTACCCTGTCGACGCTCTAGGTCTCGCTCCTTATAAACTAAATGCGATTCCTCCAAGAGATGTTTTAGTTTGCTACCTTGTTTTGTTTTCTTAATCCATTAATGAGAATTGAACATCGGTAAACTACAATTGCCTAAACATGTATCCCTGCGAAAGATAAATAATGTCATCATAATGACCATTAACATACACATGATAATTTAATCACTTCACTATCATCAAGAATAGAAGTGACATACTGCAAGAAGTTCCTTTCTTGTCACACACTATTTGCGTTCTTGTTTTCTTAAATGCGAAAGCAATCTTTATTTTATGACAGCACACTCATCAATTGCATCTGTATCAACTATAAAGCTTTCAGTTAAGTCAGGATCGGCAAATCCTGGTGAGGAGACTATAGCCATAATGCATGAAAATGATGTATAAATCTTCTGTAATACATGCAAAATCCGAGAAATGGGCGTAGTCTCGGTATCAGTGGCTATCCCTGCCGGAGAGATATCGCGTTCCAAACAGATTACCTTTCTTGAGAACAACTCATACTCTTTAGCTTTCAAATTTAATCCGGCTGCTTAAATCGACCACACATTTTTGAAAGGTGTGCACCTGTGTGATCGAATGATCGCAGAACTATTAAAAGTATATCACAAAGATATGCGAGACAAATGACCCATTGTAAATAAATCAAAACAGTCTGCATCAACCTTTAATGTGTTGCCAGAGCACCCTTCAATAACAATGGCTAATTACTTTGAAATCGTAGTCTGGGTATTATTGCAAAAAAGTTTTCTGCTGCAGAAATTCCACATGAAAGATCGAATGTTGAAAATCAGGTGAATTCAGACAAGTGATCAAACGGTGAATATCTCTGACTGAGTTCAATTTCCTGTGGTGCATGCAATAGTGCATTGTCCAGTTTTTTTTCTTGCACGAGAATAACTGGAAATAATCAAGGACTCATGGACTGTGTGATCAATCCATTTTTCAAAATTCCAACAACCTCCTCATAAATACCTTTTTGCAGAATTTGGAATCTTCGTAGTGATTGTTTAATCACAGAAGTTGTATCTTTTTTCGTTGAATTACTTCAATTTTTTGAGTTTACTATGTTGTTGTGATCCCCTTGTTAAATCCTGCAAATCTGATTTTAGATCGATCCTTCCATATTTGTGTTGCTGGGTAATTTTCATGACTTACCTGGACAATCAATTGCCAAAAACTTTTTGCAACCTCAACCATTAGTTCTGAATCAAGACTGGCTTACTAAGTACTTCTTTGTAATATACACAGCTACCGCCAACTGGTGAAATCAATTTTTATTACATGGTCCAGTCCGGTCCGTCATAATTTGGTTTTCTGGGTTTTACGTCTGCCGACAACTTTTTCATTTTCAGTCTTTTTTAAGCTTGTGCATTTCCGTTCGCTATACACGATTCAGCACGGTTTAGTTTGTTGCAAGAACCTTTGCTCAAGAGAATTGACCAACGCCTTATAATTTTTTTTACAATCGGTAAATCACTTTAAATACCCCGAGCATGCCCTCTGACTGCAACTGCTAAGCACAGTCCTCTATTCTGCTCAGACCATTCATGTTTGTGTGAGCAAGCCTCAAATTTAGACTTTAAATCTAACCAAGAAGAGAAATTTGCTATCATATGTTAAAGGGATAACCTGGCCGATGAGTAGTTGGTTTGTCTCAAGTTTTGACCATCATGGGTTCAAAGTTTTCTATGAGTATCTGAATGGCGAGATTTTGTTCTTACAGAAACCACTGATGGTAGATTATATTAATCATCATCATTTACCTTTGGGTACAATTTGTCTTCAAATGACGACTTAAATTGAACTTTGATGGGTTTATCGTAATGCAATTTTTCACTGAACGTTGAGTTGCTTCAACTGCTTCTCCAGTTTTCTTATTTCCCATTCCATTTGGTCAGGTTCTGTCGATTGTTTATCAGTAGCATATTTACTCTTCTGGAAAGTCATAGTTTGAGTGACCGTCAATCAATTTGGGTTTAAACTGACTGGGATTTTTTGTTCCGCTCATTATGCTAACAAACTGCATCTTTTCATTGTTATCAGGAAATAATTTTTCCATTTCTATTAGTCAAATTATAACAGCAGAATTTCAGTTTTTTTATTCACCTCACTTTGAAAGAGTGTAGAAGAGAGGAGGCAAAAGATACCAAATGGACATTCAAACTCATAAAGTTGAAAATAAACTGACAATGACATGGCAAAAAAAAAGACCAAAAGACAACCAACAATATACCTAGATTAAAAAAAACACCACACAAAGTGTTTTGTATTATCACAACAGTTATATCAGATCATAAGATTCTATAGTTTTCTCAGATCCGACCTTTTATTTGGGATCCAACCAGTTATCGCAGATCCCAATGCTACAATTAAAATTCTGAAACGTGTATTGGAATCTGAGATTTATATCAAAAGGAACACTTGTTTTTTTTTCTATTTTTAATAATCTGTTTCGGTTCTTATATCTTTATAATACGTTATATACGATAACAAAACTCTAACTTTAATTTGTGCAAATATTTCTCCTTATTCACTACTGCTTGTGATCTCTTAAAACTCCGGACCAGGGCTGACAATATACATTTCTTTATACACAGTGTATACACCTAGTCTGTGTTTTACACAAAAATATCACCACTACAACTGATCGTAAGCATAATGTCTTGTTCAAGACTTACAGCCAATTGTTATCCTAGTGAACATTTAGACACTAATACTTCACGATCATCATTTGTCATCTCGATTAGCATCCTCATTGCAAATCCATTCAATGCAAGTTTACATTAAATCTACAAATATTATTAAACACTTTGAATAGGAAGTAATATAATGTCCATCACAATTTCGCCACAGCTTGTAACTTTTAATTTTTCTAATTTTACCAACTTTGTGCAGATGGCTTTTGGATTCTGAGTTGAAAATTTAAAGTGCAAGGAGAAAGTGAAGAAGAGGCTAAAATTTGTTTTGTTTTCTAAAATGCCTTTTGAATCGTTTATTAAGGCAAACATCACACTAATCGATTAACACAAATCAAGGTAACAAAAACAAATTATGAGGGAATCGCAGTACACATATATTTAGAAAACTTCGGTTGAAAGTCTCTTTGGGGAGGGGAAGGACTTAAAATTTGGGGTCTTGTTACAAAATGAAAGGCTTAATTAGGTCTTTCCACTTTTCGTGGAAAGACCTTTTGTTTTTCTTCAGATTATTTTTTTTTTCTTCTGCCGTCTGAGATGCTTTTTTGTTTAACAACATATCGAAAGGACTTTTTGGCCAATGATGTTGTACATTAATGGGGATTTCAAAACTCACCCTGTGTAACTGAACACTTATTCTTATAGGAGTTATCTCCCCGTGTCCCCTTTTTCTTGTTATCTTTATATCTCTGAAACCGTAAAAGATTTTAACAAACTGTTTTCACCAAATTGTTCGTCTGCTCTTAAGAATGGTTTGGTTCAATTTAACTGATGTGATTGGATGACATCTTATGGGAGTTATTTCCCTTTGAAAATTTAACATAGGTAATATGTTAGATAAATTCATACATTATAAGTCAGAGAGGCCTAAACTCTTTTGATATGAAGTCCTTGGTCCATCTGGAGGAAATTAAGGTCAAGGTCAAAGGTCAAGGTCATGTTCTAAATTTTAAAATTTGCTTGTTATCTTTATTCAAAAGAAACCGTAAAGGTTACTGATATGATGTGTTTGCCATGTAATTATTTACGATAGGGCGCAACTTCAACCCGTTTAAGTTGAAGTGTTTTGGTCAACCCTTATAGTTTTCTCCCCTTATGTATTTGAAATCAGCATAACACCTAAACCATACAAGTGAATGACCTGGGATCTTTCGATTTGAGATCACTGACTTATGACCTTGTAATTGAGATCAAGGTCAAAGGTCAAGGTCATGTTCTAAATTTTGATTTTGGCTTGTTACCACTTATTTTCAGAAATCTTGTAAGATCTCGACAAAATGTTTTTACAGAATTGTTAGTTGCGACATGTCGTAACACATACATTTTAGTTGAAAGGGTACATAGACATTTAATGGGAGTTTACGCCCCTTTTATATCTAATACTAGTAGTATGGTAAAATAACTCATTAACAATATATAGTAGAGGCCTAGTCTTTTGATTTGAGACCTTTGTTTCATGACCTTGAAATTGGGGTCAAGGTCAAAGTTTGATTTGACGTTCTAGATTTTGACCTTCACTTTAACTTTTGATTTAAACATAATAAACTCATGGGACTTTGTGCATTAAGTTGCAAGTCATATAACCTTGAAGAAATCAACTGGAAATGACCTTTTGTAAACCGGAAATAGCAATTTTTTGTACACATTTAATGAAAAAGTACATAGAACCATATATTTTTGGAATCAGTGTCAAGTAAACTATCAGATGAGACTGAATTTGACATTTTTCAAACCGGAAGTAACAACTTATCTCCCTTATTTCAAACAAAAATGTGTAGAAACCATGTATTTATAAATTCAACGTACAATAAGCTATCATTTGGCACTGAAAATTACATTTCTAACCGAGTTTTATTATTTTTGATATCAAAATATATTGTATCGGGTGGAAAGACCCTCAATTGTTCTCTGAACAATTGGTTTTTAATTTTTATCTATTTTTTCATGGCACACTGGATAAATTGAAAAAAGTATACTGAAGATTTTTTAAAGTTTATTGTTATCCTATGAAATGCAATGTAACAATAACAAAATTGACAAAGTAGCTTAAATATATAATGTCATTTGCTGGAACAGATCATTACTTTGATCAAATAGTGTAGCTTTAATATACATTGTAATTTGCTGGAATATAACATTTCCTTATTTGTTAAAATATACAATGTCGTTTGTTGGAATATATCATTACCTTAATTAGCCAAAGTAGCTTAAATATACAATGTCATTTGCTGGAATCAATCATATTTCTAATTAGACAATGTAGCTTAAATATACAATGTAATTTGCTGGAATCAATCACATTTCTAATTAGACAATGTAGCTTAAATATACAATGTCATTTGCTGGAATCAAACATATCTCTAATTAGACAATGTAGCTTAAATATACAATGTCATTTGCTGGAATAGATCATTACAATAATTAGCCAAAGTAGCTTAAATATACAATGTCATTTGCTGAAATTGATCATATCTCAAATTAGACAATGTAGCTTAAATATACAATGTCATTTGCTGGAATAGATCATATCTCTAATTAGACAATGTAGCTTAAATATACAATGTCCTTTGCTGGTGAAGATTACTACCTTAACCTTTGGTCTCCATGTAGGGTAAGCAACTCCCAACTCCCAACTTTCTGCTTTCACCATTTGTTTATGTGAAAGTCTTTGAAAGAAAAGAAAAACATACAAATACCAAACATTGCTCAATTGTAAGACAGAATTTGTACAGCAGATGTTTTCTGCTAAAATGTAAAATTTAGTCTTTTGAAATTCGATTTAAACATTATAAACATAGACTTAAACTTTGGGAAAACTAAGGATATTCTCAAGTAATTACAATACATGTTATTCAAGGCTTGGTTATGTCCAGCTATTTCAGCTTCTTACTGTCATCAATAATATAAATAATAACTATAAATGCATGCATCAATATCACACAGAATCAGATATAATTTATTAACTCGAATAAAGTTCAATCTAGTTTCAGAAAAATGCGTCGGATTTAGTTATACATTTTTATTTGGAGGTAGTTATTAGGCAAAAGCAACAGTCCCGCTATGTGACACACATATTCAAAGTTCACACACAACCAGATAAGAAATATTGCTCTCAAATCTTCAGTATACTTCATTTATGGTTTTGCAAAGCATTAAACAGAAAAGCATTTCCAGAAGACAAATGCCTTTACTTTCGTTAAAGCAATTTAAGAAAAAACAAAATTGCATCCAGGACCCAGGCTGCAGTCGAAGCTCTGAAGTTTATATAATCTTGATTAATTATTCATAGATCATGCTTCACAAATGGTTATCAATTCATCAAAGAATCTGTGTACCTTAATACTGTTTTCACTCTAACTTGCTGTGTACTTGTTACAAGGTAATAACATTGACAGATTCTGCTTAACAATTAATATTGAGTATACGTCACATATTTCAGTGCATTGTCATTGATAATTACTATTTTAAAATCAATGAAAATTGAGAATTGGCATCATTCAAAACTAGAATCTGAAGAAAAACTTTTACCTATAAAAAGATTTCTTTTAATTTTCTCAAGATAATGTGGTGCAAGGTTTCTAAAAAATATCTATATGAAATGTGGATTCAAATATGTTTTATATGGGAATGGTATCACTGTTTATGCAAGATTTAAAATTTTACATAACCAATGGGTAAAACACTTTATAAAGTTGAAGTTTGGAATCATTTCCTTAAACTGAAAAACTTTAGGTGTTATTTGAAAATATAATACTCTTATCATCCAATATCAACAACTGACTTCTTATTCTATTTGAAGATACAGAAAAATAGGACGACACAAAATTATCAAGAATCTTGTCAAATATTTACAATAAACAAGGTAAAAGTTAGGTATGAAATCTAATCACAAATTTTCTTTTAAAACACAATGTTAATTTCAATATTTTAATATATTTTAATGTTTCATATTTCCTAATTTATTTTTTGGCCTTTCAACAGTAATGCTTTTATAAAATTTCATAAACAATTTGCTGAATATTTTGATCAATTTAGTGTAACTTCAAGAGGAAAATAGTTCTGGTTTGATAATGGTAAATATAATATTGTGTATAATAGCATGAGATCAATATGTTATAAATAATTAACACATGACATTAGAATAACAAAATATCAAGGTTTATGATTCCTATAAAATGCCTTAGAAATAATAAACCTGTATCAATGTTCACCTTCTTGGGAAAATCAAAATTTTGAAAAACAAATTTCTATCTTTCTTTTGCAACAATCAGCAAAATGATGAGTTCTTTTTAAGTGAAGTCATTAGGCATGGTCTCCTTTTTGTGACCTCACAATAGAAATTTCAGAAGAAAGCAATAAAATTTGACATCAATATTAATTTTGGACCAAAGAAGACAGAAATCAAATGAACAAAAAAAAATATAATCAACTGGGCAAGTTAAAACAGACTAAGAGTTGGAGCAATATATATATATATCAAACAAGTAAACAAAAGTTTAAGCCATAAATTGTTACTAAAATTTATTTAGCCATAATTATCTGGAATGTTTCTATTTCTATACGATGAAAATCCCTAAGATTTAATGCTAAACCTGCAAATACTTTGATTTCACTTTTTATGTGCAATATATAAATTACTTGTGTTTTGAGGGTAGTCTATCATGCCATTTTCTCTATTAAAAAAAATCAAAATTCCTTATATTTTTCTACAAATAAATATAACAGAATTTCAATAAAAAAAAGTAGTCTAATTTGAAATTGAATTAAAAATCTATATACATGTATTGGCATTTTTGTCATAGTTGTAATTACTTGCTTTTCTCTATTTTCTAGGTATCTGGAAAAAAAATGTGGTTGAAACAGAACATATATATCTATCTTGTTATTGGTTATCACTAGCAAGACTGGAAAATACCAAACACTTCCAAAAACTTATGACTGAGACAAGCCTCAGGAGACAAGAAATCTTACCCTTGACTGTCTGAGATCTCTATTTTCTATTAAATTTCATAGATTTAGGATATCCTATAGACTCTCTATGTCTATATATAGACAACAGATCTATAATATCCATTCAAATGTTTTGGGGGTCATATAATAAAAATATGTTTTACTTGACTTTTAACAAATTCTTTAAAGTAATAACCCATTAAATAAACAATAAAGATCAGTACAAAGTACAGTACAAATTATAAAGATTGTTCTAGAATGCTCACTAGGACCAGAGGTTCTAGAATGCTCACTAGGACCAGAGGTTCTAGAATGCTCACTAGGACCAGAGGTTCTAGAATGCTCACTAGGACCAGAGAATATTCACTTTTTTTTCAGATGCAATATGTGCTTTATATAAAATCTAAGGTAACTTATTTTGCAACCATGCTTTTTAAAGACTAGATGTGTTGGAACGACACAAATGGCCCCGCTCACAAAAAAAAGTTTGAAGCCATTTTTAGGAGTTATTTTTATGAAATATTCAAAGTCCAAAGCCTGTAATTTCAGCAAAAATCAGAGGAGAGGAACCAAACATAAACTCAATCTGTCACTCTTCATAGTAGACTCACATACTCAGCTCAATATGTGAAGGTGTTTAGAAAAAAAGCCCATATAACTGTTATTTTCATGAATTTTCAAAGGCCAAAGCCTGTAATTTCAGCAAAATACAGCGGAACAGAACAAAACGTTAACTAGATCTGTAACTCATCACAGTAGACTCACAAACTAATTTCAGCTCAGCATGTGAAGGTGTTTTAATAGAAAAAAGTCTGTATAAGTGTTATTTTCATAAAATTTTTCAAAGTCAAAAGCCCGTAATTTTGGCAAAAATCAGGGGAGCGGAACCAAACGTAACCTTGATCGTTAACCCATTATAGTAGACTCACATAATATAAATCAGCTTTATATGTGAAGGTGTTTAAAAAAGTCTGTATAACTGTTCGTTACAGAATGACAGAATGACGGACAAGGGTAAACTATATAGCCCCAACAACTTAGTGGCAGGGCCATAAAAACTATCCCGTCAGAAGTCTTTCATATGCTGTTAATTGCAGTAGCCTCATTGAATGTAATATATTATTGTAAGTACATTATAACATGCAAACAATCCTTCTGAATTCTCTAGTCCTGAACAGTATCACAGATTATAAAATACTATCAAATGTTCCCTGTTACGATGAGGCCTCTAATACAGAAAGCTGGGCAAATCCTACCAGAGCCTTGTCACAAGGAGCTTCGTTTGGCCCACAGCCGGAATTCTACAAAATATACAAAATGAATTTGTAGATTTATAATACATAGGAGCTATATTAGTTAACTTTCTTAAATCTACCGTACAAAATATACAAATTAATTCAAGAGCTTTGACATGGTGCTAGATTGCTTTAGTCAAATGAGACTTAATTTGATCTGCAGCTTTGGTTCTACAAAATATATAAAATTCAAAAACCTAAACTTTGGTCACAAAAAGATTCCTCCATTTGAACTGATATCCCCAAAAACTAGGGGCGGTCAAAATGACTTCAATGGATAGGGACAGACATATAGCTTTGCAACAGGCCACCTACAAACCCCACAAAGAGTTGTGGCAAGGGCTCTTAACATGCAGAGAGCGTGGCATTCTTTAAACATGTGAAACTTAATTAAACATCCCCATTCTGACTCAATGTGGCTGTTTATACATCCTGTACAAGAAATATTGACAAAGGTTTTACTGGCAGTGGAAGGAAGACCAAGAGTGACCATATTTCAATTCCACAGTCACCCTTGAGGTCTTTCAAATAAGGATCATACTTCCTGAAAAGTAAAAGTCATCAATATTGACTTTAACCTCCATTTTGTCATCAGTAACAACATATCAAAATTAGAAATGTGTTGGTTGAAGAGTTCTCAACTTATTACAGGGTTTTTTATGTTATTTTTCAATCAATCAAGGACCCTAACTCTTGAACAGCAAAAGTGAAAAACATCAATATATAAATTGACCACTTATTTGTCATCAGTAACAACATATAAGAGTTTGAAAATCATTGGTTTAACAGTTCTCAACTTACTGCAGGGAAATAACATAAATAGTTATTTTTCAATGAATCAAGGACCATAACTCCTGAACTGCAAATACTCATTTGGTATCCAGCTAGAGTTCAACAAAATATAGAAAATTAAACTTTATCATTTACATTTACAGAGCATTGTACATATTTTTTAAACTGGATAACAAATTCAATCTATGGTATGTATAATACAAAGTACAAAACAGAAAGTAGATTTTCAAGGGTCGTCAGACAGAAGGTTTTTTATAATTAATAAATATTTATCATTTATTGTACAAACAAACCATGGAATGACTTGTAAATGAATGGTTGAACAACTTACCAGGCCAAATGTTATTGTCTTTAAACCAGTATCAATTATTTTCTGTAAATTAGCTGCAACTGTCAAGGTAAAATAATAACATTAAACAATCTGTCACATCTTATCATGGACCAATGAATAATGAAAAAATTACATGAGGTACAAAAAGTGTGCATTGCTAAACTTGACTTCTATACAATAGAGGAGACAATCTTTACTTCGTCATTTCCAGATTATCAATACCCTCTGTCTACATCCTATGGTGTTTACATTTCACAACTTATACAGTTTGTTAGAATATGTTCTTATGAAGCTAACTTTAATGAGTGTAACATTGCATTAACACAAAATATACTTTTACCGGGTTACATGTACCACAGACTTTACATTTTTCGTAAGCCTCTTATCAGTATATATGTTATTTGTGAAAAATGAATACTAGAAGGTATTTCTGATCCTATCTTACTTTTGAATAAAATTAAACTTTACAGATTTAGTTCAGTGTTCATATTTAGATATGCACCATCTAATATAGTTTTTTTTCAGAGGCATTGTTTTCTTGCCTGCTAAGATTGCTGCAGAATGCAAGAGAAGCATGTATTTTAGGAAATTTTGTATTGACATTTCAGGAATATTTAAAACTTAATTTCCTCAATTGCTTGAAACAAAATGACCATAAGTCTTAAACATGATTAAACAACAAAAATTAAACACAGACATATTCAATTCAACATAGAAGTATTTTAAAAATAACAATTGGCAAACAAATCAATAAATATAACCAAGGACTAGTGGCATTTAAACAACTAGTAAACTGGTAGATAAAATTCATTAGCCAAAATAATACCTAGTACCTACCAACAATCATATCCTTGCCATCTACTAAACCCGCTTCTACCATTTCTCTGGATACACTATCAGCAGTATCTATGGAAACACAAAGAAAATAATTACATAACTAAATAAAATAAAAGTTTGCCATTCTTAAAACAACACATTTGATATTTAGCAAGTTTTTTTTTTAAAGAGGGCACAACTAGATATGTCAATAAATTACAGCTAATTGTTTGTAACTACAGCACACTAATCTGTAACTCATGATTTTACAACTATATACCATTCATTATCTTCAAGTATTGCAGATAAAAGGCATGGACATGTATAAGTCCATAGAAAAAAGATGCTTGGAAAAAAGTCTCAGAATTTTCTCTAGCAATTGAAATAAACGATACACCCGTCACGTTTTCAAAGAATAAAGTTTAATAACTTCTCAATGTCATATCCGAAATTTATAATAAACTAAAGGGAGGTTATCATAATAGATATAAATCAGTCACCAAAGTTTAATGAAAACTGCTCAAAGCACTCTAAGGATATTGTCCGAAAACTGGAAAAATCCCCCTTTTTTTAATGAATAAAACCCCATAACTAGTAAACGTAAAATCTGAAATTTATAAAAATCGAAAAGGAGCCTACGTCAATAGATATAAACAATTTGCCAAAGTTTCATGAAAACTGCTGAAAGCATTTTTGGGTTATTGTACAAAAACTGGAAAATCCCCCCTTTTTTAATGAATAAAACCCCATTACTAGTACACGTAAAATCTGAAATTGATAAAAATTAAAAGGAAATTAAGGAAATATATATAAACAATTCACCAAAGTTTAAAGAAAACTGCTCAAAGCATTTTTGAGTTATTGTCCGAAAACTGGAAAATCCCCCTTTTTGTAATGAATAATACCCCCATAACTTGAAAATGTTATTCTAAAATTTATAAAAATCAAAAGCAAGCTCATATCAATATATATAAACAATTCAACAAAGTTTCTAGCAAATTGGTGAAAGTGTTTTTGAGTTATTTTTTCGAAAACTGGAGAATCCCCCTTTTTGTAATGAATAAAACCCCAAAACTCGGAAACATAAAATCTAAAATTTATAAAAAACAAAAGGGAGCTCACGTCAATAGATATAAACAATTCACCAAAGTTTCATGCAAATTGGTTAATGCGTTTTTGAGTTAATGTCCGATATATTGACGACGGACGGACAGACGGACAACGGTATACCATAATACTTTGTATAAAGTTAGAGAACGGAAACCACTTTGGGACATACGTTCGTACGTACGTACAGACTGACAAGGGTAAAACTGTATGCCCCCTCCGCTTTGGCAGGGCCATAAAATTGGATTAATTAAAATTTTTATCAAATATGAATATACATACCTTGACCAGGAGTGTAATCAAACTTTATATCATTTAATTCTCTCTTCTCATTCCTACAATTAAAATCTTTCTAGTAATCAAACTTTATATCATTTAATTCTCTCTTCTCATTCCTACAATTAAAATCTTTCTAGTAATCAAACTTTATATCATTTAATTCTCTCTTCTCATTCCTACAATTAAAATCTTTCTAGTAATCAAACTTTATATCATTTAATTCTCTCTTCTCATTCCTACAATTAAAATCTTTCTAGTATTCAAACTTTATATCATTTAATTCTCTCTTCTCATTCCTACAATTAAAATCTTTCTAGTAATCAAACTTTATATCATTTAATTCTCTCTTCTCATTCCTACAATTAAAATCTTTCTAGTAATCAAACTTTATATCATTTAATTCTCTCTTCTCATTCCTACAATTAAAATCTTTCTAGTAATCAAACTTTATATAATTTAATTCTCTCTTCTCATTCCTACAATTAAAATCTTTCTAGTAATCAAACTTTATACCATTTAATTCTCTCTTCTCATTCATACAATTAAAATCTTTCTAGTAATTAAACTTTACTTTTTCCACATATGTTAGTTTGTATGTCTATGTATTGATAACTATATATTGAGATGATGCCATGATCTGACCTGAACTATCCATAGGTCATGAGTGATTTACGGAATGCCTTATTGCTGCCAACAAAATAAGAAGAAAAGTACAGCAAATAAATGGGGAATGTGTCCCATAGCTGATGCCCCCACTTGTATATAACGTTAAAAAGGGACAATACTCAAGAACTGTAAAAGTGACGCTACCCAAATTTGTACTTGATCTGAGTTTTGTGCTAATAAGCATTGTGTATACGTTTCATAACATTTAGTTGAGGCAAACTTAAGTTAGAGAACGGAAACGAAAAATTCAGCATTTTTTCCATTTATAAAGGGGTATAACTCTAGAACGGTAAAATTGACACCACCAAAATTCTAACTTGATCTGTGTTTTGTGGTAATAAGCATTGTGCATATGTTTCATAACATTTGGTTGAGGCAAACTAAAGTAAGAGAACGGAAACGAAAAAATTCAGCAATTTGTCCATTTGTAAAGGGGCATAACTCTAGAACTGTAAAAGTGACGCCACCAAAATTCATACTTGATCTGTGTTTTGTGGTTATGAGCATTGTGTATAAGTTTCATAACAATCGGTTTAGGCAAATTTAAGTTAGAGAACGGAAAAGAAAAATTCGGCATTTTTCCATTTGTAAAGGGCATAACTCTAGAATGGTAAAAGTGACACAACCAAAATTCAAATTTAATATGTTTTGTGGTAATAAGCATTGTGCATAAGTTTCATAATATTTGGTTGAGGCAAACTAAAGTTAGAGAACGGAAACCAATTTTGGGACGTAAGGACGTACGTACGGGACGTACAGACAGACAAGGGCAAAACTTAATACCTCCTCCACTACAGCGGGGGCATAAAAATTCCTAGCCTGTAGTTCCTCTAAATTTGTATGTTTGTTCATTTGGCTTATTTTTTAAAATTTTTCAAATTACATCCAAATTTTGTATTTGAATTGAATAAAATACTCACTTTGACAGTAAAACTAGGTTTAAAATACTCACCTTAACCGTAAAACTAGGTTTAATGACACAGCTGAAGAAGCTGTGGGTACTTCTTCCTGTAAATAACAATACAAAAGTTCTGATTTAGTTTGAACATAACAATTACTTTCTTTTGATGGATGAGTGGTTTCAAATCTAACATTCCCTGAGCAAAGAGAGTGTGTTTAAAATAAATTTGTAAAGGGTTCCACAGAATCCTGTCTCTCGTCTGCTATAGCTACTGTCAGTGTCAGTGTAAAAGTGTGATGTTGTCTTTCAATAAACTTAAGTCCATTTATCAATAAAATACAGATTTTTTTATATCAATCAAACTTTTTTCTTCAGATATTCCTTGATCTTAAGGAAGCTTCTGACCAAGTTTCAAAACATTCCATAAATGTTTGACATTTATTGATGTCTAAAAAACTTTAACCCCAGACTGTATCTAAATGTTAACTGCAAAAATAAGTCCTTTCATCAGTAAAATATTGGGAAAAAAAATATTCAAAATTTTGCTTTGGATACTGTCTTTTGACCATAAGAAAATGAACATCTGTGTCTGTATAGCTCACTTGTTGAAAGAGTGTCAGTCTGATAATGAAAACCTTTATATGCACATACTAGTTATTTTTTGTTTTGTTGATCTTTTTTACATTTTACATGTTTAACATAGCTCCGATAGTTTTTAAGATAACAGAAAAAATTGCAAAAATAACCAGTGAAAATCAACATTTGAGGGGCAACAACTCCAATGTAGGTTGTCAGAATTTTTGATAGTAGATAGATCTTGTAATGCTGATAATTTTTGCAATTAACACCTTAAACCAAGCTTATATAGTTTTCAAGATAACATAAAAAACTGTGAAAATAGGAAAACAATTCATTTCAGGGACAGTTACTCCAAAACAGGTTGACATTTTTTTCTGAAATTTTCTGGGTGGATACATCTTTTTGTGCTGATTATTTTGTGGTTACCACTTTTACCTTGTAAGTTTAAAGTTAACAATCAAAAACTGTGGAAATTGGTAAAAACCTCCATTTAATGTCCAATATCTCCATATAGGTATTCAGAGTTTTCTTAAATTTGTCAGGTACATATAACTTGCAATGCTGATCATTTTTCCTATTTCCTCTTTTTGCCAAACTTCTTGATTTTTCTTTTATTTCATTACCAAGATGGCCAAAAAAAGTTGAAAATCAATATATAAGGAGAAATAGCTCAAAAACCAGTTGATTAATTTTCCTAAAATTTCAAGAATAGATATGGCTTGTTATGCTGATCATTGTTACCTTATCAGTGTTTGTCTAATTTCTATAGTTAAGAGATATTAACCAAATACTACAGTTTGATCCCTATCTTCTGTCTAATTTCTATAGTTAAGAGATATTAGCCAAATACTACAGTTTGACCCCTATCTTCTGTTTAAGCCACAATGGTCATGTTGGTGGATCACTTACAACTTACAACTCCTGTTAGCACAATGTGTCAACCTGATCAACCTAGATGAAAATTACAAACTTCATAGTAGACATCCTATATGTGATATATATATGAAGCAGAAAAGAATTTGGTTTCAATCTATTTCACAGTTTCAGAGAAGAGAGTTTTTAAAGGAGACATGACTCGATTTTCAATTTGTGTTTCAAAATGTTTATTTATACTTAACTTTCCCAAAAAATACATCGATAGCAATATAAGTGTCAACTATTTAGGAAAATATGTATTTTAATGAGATTTAAATGCAACGATTTATCGACCTGTCAAATATGCATATTTCCATCCCGGAAGTCACTCAGAACGAGGCTACTACGTCAGTGGTTATATTCATTCATATTGACATATGGGTACAGCACAAATTTAGTTTTAAGAATTAATATCCTTTTCTTGGATATTTTTCACAAACAATGTCTTTATAGTTTGTCAGTAATCGTGAAAAGTGCCGTCAATACTCTCCATAGTGTATCGACATCGTCCAGTTAAGAGACATTTTCCCAGCTTGTAACCACTGACGTATGCACGATCACTTGATCGTTATCTAATTAAAAATCATTCTTAATGACAAGCGCTGGATTCTTTGACCAGAAAAATGCTGATTTATCAGGTTTTGACCAGCAAAATTGTACAAAACATGTTTTAAGACTAATATTTATTAATTTAAAAAAAAAAAATAAAAAATAAAAACGGACTCTTTGCGAACGCCTAATTTGACTTTTACTATTGTTTTTTTTCTTACTATCATTTTTTTTACCGTAACAGAGAGAGAAAAAAAAAGAACAATTTGATCATCAATAATTAGAAATTTATATCTTCAATCATGATTAAAAGTAGTTTTATTTAAATGAAAAAAATGCAGAAAGCGGTCTATTAAATTTATTCATCAGACAAATCAAATATGTATGGTAACAATCCGATCGGTATTGTCTGAAAAATCGTTGTTTTTGGACTCTTCGCATGAAGAATTAATATCCTTTTCTTGGTTATTTTTCACAAACAATGTCTTTATAGTTTGTCAGTAATCGGGAAAAGTGCCGTCAATACTGTCCATAGTGTATCGACATCGTCCAGTTAAGAGACATTTTCCCAGCTTGTAACCACTGAAGTAAGCACGATCACTTCATCGTTATCTAATTAAAAATCATTCTTAATGACAAGCGCTGGATTCTTTGACCAGAAAAATGCTGATTTATCAGGTTTTGACCAGCAAAATTGTACAAAACATGTTTTAAGACTAATATTTATTAATTTAATAAAAAAAAAAAAAAAAAAAAATCGTGTCATGTTTCCTTTAAAGATAGGTTTACAGACAATGGACAAACAACAGAGGTCAAGTAATAAAAAAAGCTGACATGGACCTTTGGACCAGATGGGTAAAAAAGCTTCAGTTCCAAGTTTCATAAAATTCCATGAAGGTTTGACAAAGAAATTGATGAATCTTTAACCCCATGCACAACCTAAATGTTGATGGCACTGACAAAGCTGGAATGTAGGATCTCTATGTCTCCCTTCCTTAACAAAATGTTACAAACTGGACAAAAAGGAGATGGGGGGTTTAAGTCAGTTAGGCAGCAATCCAAAGAACACAAAAATGTCTCCAACAACAAATGCATACCGTTAAAAGGCTTGTCTAGTCCGCGGTTTTATTCTCCAAAATTGAACCTGCGAGCAGGGGTGCGGACTATAGAGTACAATAAGCAAGAAATAAGAGAAAAAATTCAGGTGGTTTATTTTCGTTCCGCCATGTTTGTTATTGATATCGTAGAGGGCGCTCTAAATATTTTTCAAACTAATAATTTTACCTAATCCATATTAATAAGTTATTGTTATTCAATATCAAATTAATATTTGTAAATTTAAAAATTGAACGCTTCATAACAAGTTTCTCGTTTCTTTTCAATGCATTGCTTATAAAATAAACTGGTATCTGCTTGAATGAAACTGTACAAAAAAAGTAAAAAAGACAACCGTAAACCAGCTTACGATGTGTAAATTACAAAACGTAATCAGTTATTATACGTTCCATTTTGGTGTTTCATACTGACTAATATGTTATTTATTAGCTTAAAACCCTTCAAAAATTAATGTGATAGATATATCTTACACTATTTTACATCAGGATGGAACTGTTTTACTTTCAAAGTCATATTATATTGATATCTAGTATGTACGGATTTCGACTCTCACCGTTTTTTCTCTTCTTTTACACGTGCTTTTCAAACTTCCGGTTTTAACATAAACAAGTTTCTAAATTGTTTTTTGTGTGATTTAGACTTATTTTAACAATCGTGAAGGCTTTTATAATCATTTACAAGCAGTTTCAGCTTCTGTTTGTTGATGGAAAATAGGTTTTTCCAAGAAAATACCGCATACGACCACACAGGATTTGAAATTACCGGAGTTTCATTAGACCTTTTCTAACAGTTACAAAAAGTTTTTTTACCAAAAATTTCGTGGGGAGAAGGGGGGTGCGGACTATGTACCAGTGCGAACTATACAAGCCCCATTACGGTATCCAAAAAGTCACATTAAAAAATACCCTTGGTTTGAATAAGTTTTGATAATTTAACCACATATTACTTCACTCTCTCTTGATCTCATTTAGGAGTTTTCAAATGAAAAGTTTACAGTATACATAGTTTATTACCTCTACAGATGTATAAACATGTGACATATATGGACTGCAACTTTGTCGTGATTAAGTAACTAATCTATATATGACTTACTTCTGGTTTTTTAGCTTCTACAACACTTTCCACTGACGTACCAATAGTTGTTGATGATGATGAGTCTGATTGTATGGTTTCCTGTGATTGAGTAGGTGTTGGTAAATTATCTGGCTTTGGTATGGTTTGCATTTTATCTGATTCCTTTTGCACTTTATCAGATTCCTAAAATAAACACAAAACATTTTGAAAGAAAAAAACTTTAAAATACATGTAACATTAATTGTAATTTGCTGCAAATATTTTCAATTTGCTCATTTTTCTTTGATTTTGATAGTTAATTTAAACTCTAATTTTCTTTATAGTTCAAAATTCAAAGACTTACCTGGGACTTAATTTATTTAAATTATATCTGTTTACACTTATTTGGTACAATTTTAATGAAATAAAAACTAATTATCTAGTGTTAAAATTATTTACAACCAAAAATGGAAGAATTTTTTTTTTTTTTTTAAACGTACCTCAGAAGACCTTTCTGACAAGGATACTCTTGGAGACTGAAAAATAGAAGAAATTGAATTATTTAATGAACCTTAAAATAACCAGTAATTATAATAAACTGCTTCGCCTAGCGCAGCTGGATACGACCGCAGAGGTCCAACCCTGAAGGGTTGGGGCAAAAATGGACACAATATTCAAGCTTGATACAGGTCTGAATTTGGATTGTAATTAAATATTTGACACATAATAAATGTAGTCAAACAACAAGAAATTGGTTATATGATTTGAATTTATATTCAATACAAGATTTCTTGCTGTTGTGCAACACACTGTGCTGTTGCGCAATACTTAGTAAATCTGTTTTCATACTATATACAAATTATTGACCCCCAATTTTTCTTTGGAAAATTGACAATTTCTGAAATCTTTTGGTTAAATTTCATAGAGATCAATACACTTAAACTAAAGTTATTAGCCGGAAACCAAATGTCTTCGGACGATGAGGATGCTGAAGACAACGACGGCGATGATGACATGATAGCAATATACGACCCCAAATTTTTTATGGGGTCGTATAAAAATAAGAAGATGTGGTAAAAGTGCCAATAAGACAACTCTCCACCAGAGAACAAATGACATAGAAGTTAACAACTAGAGGTTACTGTAGGGTCTTCAACAATGAGCAAAACCTATTCTGCATAGTCAGCTATAAAATCCCCCTAAATAACAAATGTAAAACAATTCAAACAAGAAAACTAACAGCCTGATTTATGTACAAAATAATGAATGAAAAGCAAATATGATATACAGCAACAAACGACAATCACTGAGTAATGTTCTCTTGAAATTAATCTCATAATTTGTCCTACAAATTCAACCAAGGTTGGTTTTTATCAAAATCTATATCTGGTCTATCAATATTTTTCTTTTGTAGCAAAAATCAATGCATCAAAACACCACAAGAACAGCATGGGTTTATACAGTGGACAGCATCAATACAGCATAAGAACAGCATGGATTTATACAGTGAACAGCATCAAAACACCATAAGAACAGCATGGGTTTATACAGTAAACAGCATCAAAACACCATAAGAACAGCATGGATTTATACAGTGGAAAGCATCAAAACACCATAGGAACAGCATGGATTTATACAGAAGACAGCATCAAAACACCATATTAACAACATGGATTTATACAGAAGACAGCATCAAAACACCATAAGAACAGCATGGATTTATACAGAAGACAGCATCAAAACACCATAAGAACAGCATGGATTTATACAGAAGACAGCATCAAAACACCATAAGAACAGCATGGATTTATACAGAAGACAGCATCAAAACACCATAAGAACAGCATCGATTTATACAGAAGACAGCATCAAAACACCATGAGAACAGCATGGATTTATACAGAAGACAGCATCAAAACACCATGGGTTTATACAGTGGACAGCATCAAAACACCATAAGAACAGCATGGATTTATAAAGAAGACAGCATCAAAACACCATGAGAACAGCATGGATTTATACAGTGGACAGCATCAAAACACCATGAGAACAGCATGGATTTATACAGAAGACAGCATTAAAACACCATGAGAACAGCATGGATTTATACAGTGGACAGCATCAAAACACCATAAGAACAGCATGGATTTATACAGTGGACAGCATCAAAACACCATGAGAACAGCATGGATTTATACAGAAGACAGCATTAAAACACCATGAGAACAGCATGGATTTATACAGTGGACAGCATCAAAACACCATAAGAACAGCATGGATTTATACAGAAGACATCATCAAAACACCATGAGAACAGCATGGATTTATAAAGTAGACAGCATCAAAACACCATGAGAACAGCATGCATTTATACAGTGGACAGCATCAAAACACCATGAGAACAGCATGGATTTATACAGTGAACAGCATCAAAACACCATAAGAACAGCATGGGTTTATACAGAAGACAGCATCAAAACACCATGAGAACAGCATAGATTTATACAGAAGACAGCATCAAAACACCGTAAGAACAGCATGGATTTATACAGAAGACAGCATCAAAACACCATAAGAACAACATGGATTTATACAGTGGACAGCATCAAAACACCATAAGAACAGCATGGATTTATACAGACGACAGCATCAAAACACCATAAGAACAGCATGGATTTATACAGACGACAGCATCAAAACACCATAAGAACAGCATGAATTTATACAGAAGACAGCATCAAAACACCATAAGAACAGCATGGATTTATACAGAAGACAGCATGGATTTATACATCATACCTTTACATAATCAGGACTTTAAAGAAAAGTAATTACCCAATATGTATCCATGTAGCTCATGTATAACATATTTCAAATAACTTCACAATAAAACTTTAAACTTTAAATTGAAGCACATATCTACTTTCAGTAACATTGGCTTCCTTAGTCTTCAATCTGGGATTAATACAGGACTATTTTTCCTAACTTCAATTGAGATACTTCAGGTGTCAAACTAATACCAAAATTACTTCCAATTTAAAAACCAATACTGCAACATTACATTTTTTGATTATTTAAACAGAACCACACCTAATGTTATGTATCACTACACATTTCTCAAAATGCTTAATTAGTTATAAAATAAAAATACACCAATCTCATTATTTAGTAGCAAATAAAGTAAAGTCATGTACTGTTGTTGGGTCCTTTCGAATGACTATTTAGATTAAATATATGCATGAAAATCTTAACTAACATTCTTATAGTAACCATGAATTGGAATTGAAGTCTTAAAGGATTGAAAGTATGCTTTATTTTGTTATGACTTGACTGTTTCTCCTACAGCAGTTTGTTAACATTTCTGACCGGTTGGACAGTTTGATTTGATGACACAAACTGCTATTGAGTCAGAATTTTGAATGAGTTGCTATACTAAGTGTAATTTCATACTTTATACAATATTCAATATTTTATACTTCCATGTTCCATTCTGCAATGTGTGCTTTACCATTATCTATATGACTCTGGTAAAAACATAGGTTTATAATTAAACTAGTAATATGTATATATATATATATATATATATATATATTGGCTGAAACAATGTACCTGACTGACTCTATGAGCCTCATCCTCAGCATCCCCCTCTTCGTATTCATCATCTGACCACTCCCATTCTCCATCCTCTAGCTTATGTAATCTGCCACTCGATCCTGGAACTCTCTTTACCTAAAATTACAACAAACTGTCTTATTTTGTAAGAACTCTTTTAACCTATCTACAAGTGATATGACACATGAACATAGATCAGTATTCATACATTGACTACAAAAAGTTACCAAACCAAGTCTGGAATATACTTCTAACCTAATGGTTAAAAGATGTTATCATCTGACGATTTTTACTTTTTGTGGTTTGAGCGTCCTTTTTACAATTCTTACTTCTTGTAGTTTAATTGAGGGACCTTTTAACAATTCTTACTTCTTCTAGTTTTATTAAGTGACTTTTTGACAATTCTTACTTTTTATGGTTTGAGTGACCTTTTGATAATTCTTACTACTTGTAGTTTAATTAAGTGACCTTTTGACAATTCTTACTTTTTGTGGTTTACATGACCTTTTGACAATTCTTACTTCTTGTAGTTTAATTGAGTGACCTTTTGACAATTATATTTTCTTGTGGTTTAATTGAAATACCTTTGACAAGTTTTTATTTTTGTGGTTTAATTGAGTGACATTTTGACAACTCTACAATTCTTACTTTTGGTGGTTTGATTGAGGGATCTTTTTACAAGTTTTCCTATTTGTGGTTTTATTGAGCGACCTTTTGACAAGTTTTACTTTTAGTGATTTGATTGAGCCGCCTTTTGACAAGTTTTCCTTTTTGTGGTTTCATTGAGCCTCCTTTTGACAAGTTTTACTTTTTGTGATTTGATTGAGCGACCTTTTGACAAGTTTTACTTTTTGTGGTATCATTGAGCCTCCTTTTGACAAGTTTTCCTTTTTGTGATTTGATTGAGCCACCTTTTGACAAGTTTTACTTTTTGTGGTTTCATTGAGCCACCTTTTGACAAGTTTTACTTTTTGTGATTTGATTGAGCCACCTTTTGACAAGTTTTACTTTTTGTGGTTTCATTGAGCCACCTTTTGACAAGTTTTACTTTTTGTGATTTGATTGAGCCACCTTTTGACAAGTTTTACTTTTTGCAAAAGTTTTTCTAATAGTGGTTTATCTGATTTTTGTTTGTTTTAGCAACTCTTACTTTTCATGGTTTTACTGAGTTACCCTTTGACAACTCTTACTTTTCATGGTTTTACTGAGTTACCCTCTGACAACTCTTACTTTTCATGGTTTTACTGAGTTACCCTCTGACAACTCTTTCTTTTCATGGTTTTACTGAGTTACCCTCTGACAACTCTTTCTTTTCATGGTTTTACTGAGTTACCCTCTGACAACTCTTTCTTTTCATGGTTTTACTGAGTTACCCTCTGACAACTCTTACTTTTCATGGTTTTACTGAGTTACCCTCTGACAACTCTTACTTGTCCTGGTTTTACTGAGTTACCCTCTGACAACTCTTTCTTTTCCTGGTTTTACTGAGTTACCCTCTGACAACTCTTTCTTTTCATGGTTTTACTGAGTTACCCTCTGACAACTCTTTCTTTTCATGGTTTTACTGAGTTACCCTCTGACAACTCTTACTTTTCATGGTTTTACTGAGTTACCCTCTGACAATTCATAAATTTTGTGGATTACCTTTTCTGGAAAGACAGAATAATTACTGTTGTCATTTCACACACATTTTGTGTAAAGACTTAGTTAGTTACCTTTAACAATTCTTACATTTTGAGGTACAACTGACAATTCTTACCTGTTGTAAGAATGAGATACTCTCTGGCAATTCTTACCTGTAGTACAACCGAGATATTCTGGACAATTCTTACCTGTGTAGTACAACTGAGATATTCTCTGACAATTCTTACCTGTTGTAAGAATGAGATACTCTGACAATTCTTACCTGTTGTAAGAATGAGATACTCTCTGACAATTCTTACCTTGTGTAAGAATGAGATACTCTCTGACAATTCTTACCTGTTGTAAGAATGAGACACTCTCTGACAATTCTTACCTGTTGTAAGAATGAAATACTCTCTGACAATTCACCCTGTCATTAAGTGGTTGAACATTTCTAACAATTCTTACCCTTTGTGGTTTAACTGAGTTGCCCTCTGACAATAAAGTTTTTACTAGGTAGGTTTTATCCTGAAACAGAATGTAAAATTGTTGAGTTGTTTTGTTTTTGTTTGCATCTTTGGCAATTAATTTACAAACTCAATCTTCATAGAATTTAATATTATCTTCAATTGTAGTAATGATTAATTTCATGACATACATAATTTCTTAACTGAATCTACCTAGATGTAAAATTGAAATTTAAAATGTTTTGGGTAAAAGCTAGTTTGAAGACTTTTAATTTGAATATCAAGATATCTTGCAAATTACATGTATGTTACATTTAACATTTTTACGTCTGTTTTTCTTGCGATCCACTAGGGAAAAATAATCTTAAACTGTATAAAACATCCTAGAAATTATTCCAATACAAACTCATTAAATGATCAAATGATCGATCACACATTTACTTTTTGTTACATTTTTTCTTGTTTTGTGATTCATTTTGGTTTTTTTTTCATTCATACCTTTGCTTTCTTGAAGAATTCATTCTTTAATAACTGCTTAGCTGTTGGCCTAAAATGTAGAAAGAGAGGTTTTAAGATTTAGATTTGGATATGTCACTTTAAATTTAAATTGTCTCATACTATACTGTAGAAAAAATTGTGACCCTATGTATGACATAATTATAAATAACAAATATTCTATGGTGCAGTAAAATGTCCCCTATCAATTATCATACATTGCATTAGTCTAAAGAGTAGATTACTGAAAAACAAATACACAAAATGTCCCCTAACAATTATGATACATTGCCATTGTCTAAAGAGTAGATTACTGACAAACAATTACACTAAATGTCCCCTATCAATTATGATACATTGCCATCGTCTAAAGAGTAGATTACTGAAAAACAAATACACAAAATGTCCCCTAACAATTATGATAAATTGCCATCGTCTAAAGAGTAGATTACTGACAAATAATTACACGAAATGTCCCTTAACAATTATGATAAATTGCCATTGTCTAAAGAGTAGATTACTGACAAATAATTACACGAAATGTCCCCTAACAATTATGATACATTGCCATCGTCTAAAGAGTAGATTACTGACAAATAATTACACGAAATGTCCCCTAACAATAATGATACATTGCCATCGTCTAAAGAGTAGATTACTGACAAATAATTACACGAAATGTCCCCTAACAATAATGATACATTGCCATCGTCTAAAGAGTAGATTACTGACAAATAATTACACGAAATGTCCCCTAACAATAATGATGCATTGCCATCGTCTAAAGAGTAGATTAGTGACAAATAATTACACGAAATGTCCCCTAACAATTATGATGCATTGTCATCGTCTAAAGAGTAGATTACTGACAAATAATTACACGAAATGTCCCCTAACAATAATGATACATTGCCATCGTCTAAAGAGTAGATTAGTGACAAATAATTACACGAAATGTCCCCTAACAATCATGATGCATTGCCATCGTCTAAAGAGTAGATTACTGACAAATAATTACACGAAATGTCCCCTAACAATTATGATGCATTGCCATCGTCTAAAGAGTAGATTACTGACAAATAATTACACGAAATGTCCCCTAACAATTATGATGCATTGTCATCGTCTAAAGAGTAGATTACTGACAAATGATTACACGAAATGTCCCCAAACAATTATGATACATTGCCATCGTCTAAAGAGTAGATTACTGACAAATAATTACACGAAATGTCCCCAAACAATTATGATACATTGCCATCGTCTAAAGAGTAGATTACTGACAAATAATTACATGTCATATTGGCATCAACACATTGCATTATCATTAAAGTTGTAGGCTTTAAAATTATCACTCTATTTCCATTTTCATGGAAATGTGGTCATTTTTTAGAATTTTAGAACTTTCTCAATAAATATCAAAGCTTTTTGGGCATATAATCACAGAGGCGTAGCATTCCCAAGGTTTTGTTACGCTATAATAGGCATTAAATCGTCAAAATCAATATGCTGCCTAAAAAATGTTTTAAGCAAACTGGTGATATGGTATGATCAACTAATAGCTTTAATCCATGTTACCTTTATTTGGACATCATAGTTGTCTCTTTGGCAATCATACCACACTTCCTTATTTCTTAAACATAAAGACTTACAATCCTAATAAGTAATTATTATACGAACAGCCTTAGTGAAGTAGTTATTGTTTGAAAAGTACTACAGATGAATGATTAAGAGGGACACAGACTATTACTTTATCACATCTTCCAAGAGGGACATAGGACAATTAAAAATCTTATAGTTCAATTGTTCATATATATATATGAAAATAACAAACTTGTATTTGGTACATGTGATAGAGTTATTTATAGTTATATACAAATCATATTTATAAAATATAACAGCAATACCAATGCATGTGAAAATTGCCTTTTTACCAATACCTTCTATTCAGGCTTTCAAAAAATAGCCTACTGTATGAATACCTTTTTTCTGGTTCTTTTTTCAGACATTCAGAAACCATTTTGCGGAAGACTTTACTATAAGATTTATACTGTTCTTTATCATCAGCTCCAGTGTCAAGGGCAGGGGGATCATTCTGTAACGTAAGCATCAGCACCTACAAAGTACTTATATCTAATACAGAATGTCCTTCAATACATGAGAATCAGATAATACAGAATGTCCTTCAATACATGAGAATCAGATAATACAGAATGTCCTTCAATACATGAGAATCAGATAATACAGAATGTCCTTCAATACATGAGAATCAGATAATACAGAATGTCCTTCAATACATGAGAATCAGATGTCTACTGTCTCATTACAAATTATCTATATCTATAAAATTCTATCAGGGTTTGACAAAGTTAACGATGCTTGAAAAATTTAAACCCCATATTGTATCTGAATGTTAATTGCCCCCCAAAAAATAGGTCCATTTATCAGTAAATTCAGAAAAATGGAAAAAAATATTTCAAAATTTAACACAGGATACTGTCTTTTGATCATAATAAAGCTTCTGACCAAGTTTTATTAAAGTCAATGAAGGTTTGACAAAGTTATTGGTGTTTAAAAAACCTTTAACCACATACTTAACATAAATGTTGACATCGCTGATGCTAATGAAATGTACGATCGCTATGCCTTGCTTCTGAAACAAAATATTGCGCACTCGACAATAAATGCATGCTAATTTTTACAGCTACTACACACAGGCTGGCTGATTTATATATGTATAATGTTGATACTAATACATTAAGTCACTTTACAATACTTTCTAGGCCAATATTTTTTAATTATCTGTTTTACAAACCCATCAGCCAGAAAAATTAAAATAAAAATAAAAGAGAATGCTGTTAAATTTATTTCTTTTATTATAGCCGATTGTTGAAATTGTGAGTTTGAAAAAATAAAAGATCAACACTGTAAAAAGAAAAAATTTTGTAAAACAGATGATAAAAAATGTTGGCCCTACTAAAAATATCTCATGGCTAATGTCATATGAATAAAAGGTGTGGTGTAGATATGATGGAAACAGCACTCCGAATACATGACAAAAAAACACCAAAAAATCAATTTATGGTTCTCAGAGTAAATGAGAATATATACATAATTTTTTAATAATTTCATGTATTGTTAAGTCAGTTGTTTGTTATTACTCTAGCTATATATTAGTTTGATTGCTTTATGAATTACATTGAATATATTTTCTGTAGATAGGTATCAACATTTCATTACCTTCATTGGAGGGAATTTATGATATGGAGCTGTTCCTGTGGCAAGTTCTATTGCAGTAATACCAAAACTCCAAATATCTGCTTTAAAGTCATAACCAGTGACCTGAAACAGAACAAAATTAGCATTTCATTGGTTGGATGTGGAAAGAACTGATACTGTAAGGTAATTTATCATAAATAAAATCATTGGTTGGATGTGGCAAGAACTGATACTGTAAGGTAATTTATCATAAAAATAATTCACCAACTTAAAGCTTCCATAAAAAATAATCCCTTTTCTTTCCAAATTTCAAACTTTTAAATGAAAATCCTACATCTACATGTAACTACCCAAAATGTTTATTCTTGATGCATGTTCTATTCAAACTAAAAAAATCAGATATAATGAAATGCAACAGATTTTTCATTATGACATGTATGATGGGGTGTATTTGCTGTTTGTCAATAGAAAACTACAGCCTTGGGGTAAATCTAAGGGTTTGCTATAATACATTTTGTACGTTGGCCGACTTTTTGTACTCAATATACGTTCATAAATCGCCAGGGGTTTGTGCTTGTGTCATTTTTCTTTATTCCAGTCATGTTTTTTGTATGAATGTGTTCCACAATTCTTGCGTTTGGCTATCATTCACAGTCCAAATTTCCTGACACAAAGTCATTGTATAAACAAAAAAATCCACGGTTTTCTAATTACTGAAATTTGTGACATACCAGGATTTGCGTTCTTGGAAACTTCCTATAACTCGTAACTGGAATATTTCATGCCCTTCCTGTAATCAATCTCTATTTTTGAAAGATAATGTTGTCATCATAAAGCAGCAGAATATGTTGACTTCATTATTTTGGTTAAATTACTCAAAGAAATACGAAAACCTAAATTTGCAACTGGAAGTTTTGAATGAAACAAAATTATCGGCAGTTACCAATAAAGGAAATGTAAAAATGACATGTAAAAAATCATAATAAATCATAAATTTTTTTAAAATAAAAAAAATAGGGGAGGGTGGGGATGAAAATCTATCAATTAATTTTAATTGGCCTTAAAGTAAACTTGTATATCTGAAATTTAACGTAACTAAAATGTGAAGAAGCTGGATCTGTATCATTCTATATTTACCTGTTCCATAACTTCTGGTGCCATCCAGCAGGGTGTTCCAACAAATGTATGTCTTACTGAGTCTCTTGTTTGATCCTTTCCTGTCGCTAACCAAGCACTGACTCCAAAGTCTGTAATAATAATTCTTCTTATCAAGAACTTTCTCACCTTTATGTATTCATTAAAACTCATATGAATTAACTGATTTTCACCTGTGGATCATCCTCCTGTAAAACTTGTGAAAACATTAGATCTAATTTCTGACCTAAAAATTTACTTTGATTCTGCAAGTTTCTACTTAACACAGGTCAGATACTAAAAAGTATTCAGTTTTGAATCTAACAAAATAGTTCAGGTTAGATAGGGTTTTAGTTAAATCATCTTTCAGCTTTAATAGGCTATACTTTATTTTCTACTTCCAAAAAATAATGAATCTTAAATTGCCTTTCTTGGAATGTTATACCATGTCAGGGATCTCCATGATCTGTGTTATGATGGCACACCGCCATTGTTAAATTATCTTCCGCCATCGTCAAATGATCCCCGCCATTGTTAAATTATCTTCCACCATCCTAAAATGATCCCCACCATTGTCAAAATTTGTTTTCTTTTAGCTAGCCTCCGTTTTTGTTAGCAATTATAATCAATTGCATGTTATTGCATAACCCTTATTGTATCATAATCCAAAGGGTCCTCCTGATTACAGTTTTAAAGCCCTGAAGGATATTCGGCTACAGATCGCTTATCACTTGTACAGTTAGATCGACACACCTGTCAGGAGAACACTTGATTGCATTATTTAATTACGTTTCAGCAAATTCGAATGAATATTTAGATTGAAAAATAAATTTTAAATCCAGTAACAAAGAAAACAGTTTAGCAAGTCGAACACGTGCTTTTATATTGACTTACGCAATCAGCATCCCCCTTTTTAAACGAGTTCAAAATAAGACGTAAAACAGAACATAATTCCATGCCAAATAACATGAGTACAACAATTATCGATAATATTGAATCACTTTACAGGTTTGAAAGTATTGTAATCTGAATTCATTTTGTAGTTTTCAAGGAAATTAATACATCCGGTTTACATTCAGAATCAAAAGATGCATGCTGCAGTCTATTACTATGGAATTTGCAATTTAAAGTCATTAAAGCCATTAAGTTGTAAACGTCTACCCTCCAAATCTTTCTTCAACATTTTATAAAAAGGGTAAGAAACTTCTTGTTGATGCTGCAAATTGTCGATACCAGTTCATGACTTCTGAATTTGACAGTGAAAAAAAGATCCCCCTCCCCCCGATTTTAAAGTCCTAAACAATTACCAAAATAGCAAGAAAACGACTTGGGAACCTTAAGGACAGCTTGTGGTCATTCTTGACTAATCGGGAGCCATGCAGGCTTGACATTGGAATTGTTACAAATGACAATTAATGAAAATATTGGTTATTCTATAATGAAATAAATATAATAAGCATTATATCAGTCTGTTCACCATTCCTTACATAGAAATGGAGAAATGAAATACTTTCGTTCACGACACGCAGTAGACGTGGGGTTTTGTCATGGTGAAAGTTCCTCCATCGTTAAATTTTCATCCATGGAGATCCCTGCATGTTTTAAATTCTAAATTAACAAGCCAACAGTTCCTAAAAAGTAATATTGTAAAATAACCATTAGTACTAACCAGCTATATACACTGCCCCATCTTCACCCAGTAATATATTCCCTGCTTTGATATCTCTATGGATCTGTCCATTGTTGTGGAAATATTCTAACCCTTTAAGTACTTCTTTAAGAACTGTTGCTATGGTAACTTCATCAAATACTCCATTTTTCCAATTTCCTGTCCTCATTCTATTTTTTATAATGTCTAACATAGAACCTGTAATAATTTGAATGTTTTTTTTATATTACATGTAGATCAAGTCATTAATTTAAAATCTGAAGTATGAGAACGTAGCCATTAATTCTTCAAGGAAATTTTCGGCCATCATGGTTTGGTTGGCCGTTATAGAATATCATTTCAAGATGCCTACTGATATTTTGATTTTTCTTCTTTCCTTCCTTGTTTATGACATTACAGACTTTACACTGAGTATTGTGTATGACAGGTGACAGGAACTGATTTCTTCTTCTTCTCCTCCTAAGCATGTGACTTTACAATCACTTTTAACAAGATTCAAATTATTATATCTAAAGATTACAAGAAATATGTTTGTTAAGTGTTTTTGTTACTGGCAATGTCTAGATTTGTGCTTATTTAATTAATTCTGACTGCATATTTTGTATAAAATTTTGAATTTACAACAATTTTTTTTGATGGAGCATCACTGAAAAAAATTATTTGTCAAATTGTGCATCATGGACACAATAAAGTTATTACTGTATAAAGTTAAATTATTCAAATTTCTTTCTGTGTAATGTTCCTTACATGTCTGAAGATTGAACCTAATATTAAATAATTACCACCACTACAGAGTTTCATCACAACCCATAATTCCTCCTTCACAACAAATGATGTATGGTATCCCACAACATTCTCATGTTTACACTGACTCATAGCCTGTATCTCTTTCTGTAATATAAAATTCGTCATAATTTGTATCCATTTCTTAAATATAATAAATATAAATGACATTTCACATTTTTTATTATATTGCTCAAAAGAATTCTTAAACATATGGAACATCATGAACTATGTTATTTACTTGCTTGGCTCATCTTAGGATTTCCATTATAAATATGACAGAGCATGCATAATAAAGTATCAGTTTTGACTATCAGCGCTTATCCAACAGTGTGTTTCTGATGCGATCCTATAGCAATATATAGTCATGAATCAGGTCTTTTGTTCAGTGATGATTTCAAGATGGCATGTATATCTCTATATAACTAATATCTTTGCATCATGATGTGAACCAAAGAATAAAATGCTCCGCAGGGCGCAGCTTGATACGACCGCAGAGGTCGAACCCTGAACAGTTGGGGGAAGTATGGACACAACATTCAAGCTTGATACAGCTTTGGATTTGGATTGTGATTAAATATTTGACACAGCATAGGTTTCTAACACAGATTGAATGTGGTCTAAGAACTTAAAAATTTTAAATTGGACATTCACCTATTATGGTCCAATATCCAAAATCTAAATACATGGTTAGATTCAGCATATCAAAGAACCCCAAGAATTCAATTTTTGATGAAATCAAACAAAGTTTAATTTTGGACCCTTTTGACCTCAATGTGGACAAAGTTAATAATGGGGCCCAAAAATCAAAAATCTAAATACATGGTTAGATTCAGCATATCAAAGAACCCCATATATTCAATTTTTGTTGAAATCAAACAAAGTTTAATTTTGGACCACGATTTGGACCAACTTGAAAACTGGGCCCATAATCAAAAATCTAAATACATGTTTAGATTCAGCATATCAAAGAACCCCATATATTCAATTTTTGTTAAAATCAAACTAAGTTTAATTTTGGACCCTTTGGACCTTAATGTAGACCAATTTGAAAATGGAACCAAAAATTAAGAATCTAAATACACGGTTAGATTCGGCATATCAAAGAACCCCAATAATTCAATTTTTGATGAAATCAAACAAAGTTTAATTTTGGACCTTTTTGACCTCAATGTGGACAAAGTTGATAACGGGGCCCAAAAATCAAAAATCTAAATACATGGTTAGATTCAGCATATCAAAGAACCCCATATATTCAATTTTTGTTGAAATCAAACAAAGTTTAATTTTGGACCCCGATTTGGACCAACTTGAAAACTGGGCCCATAATCAAAAATCTAAAAACATGTTTAGATTCAGCATATCAAAGAACCCTAAGAATTCAATTTTTGTTAAAATCAAACTAAGTTTAATTTTGGACCCTTTGGACCTTAATGTAGACCAATTTGAAAACGGAACCAAAATTTAAGAATCTAAATACACAGTTAGATTCGGCATATCAAAGAACCCCAATAATTCAATTTTTGATGAAATCAAACAAAGTTTAATTTTGGACCCTTTGGACCTCAATGTGGACCAATTTAAAAACGGGGCCCAAAATCCAAAAACTAAATACACGGTTAGATTCAGCATATTAAAGAACCCCATGAAATCAAGAATAAAACCCCATTGAAATTGGTCAAGAAATAAGCAATTTATAGGAAGTATTTTCTTTTGCACAATCCTGTGCTATTAAATATTTCTTGCTATTGCGCAATACTGTACAATTGACAATTTCTTGCTATTGCGCAATATTGTGCTATTGGATATTTCTTGCTATTGCGCAATACTGTGCAATTGAAGATTTCTTGCTATTGCGCAATACTGTGCAATTGAAGATTTCTTGCTATTGTGCAATACTGTGCAATTGAAAATTTCTTGCTATTGCACAATACTTATTATATAATAATTTACACATCCTGTTTGGTGTGTATCTCCTACCATATCATTATTATTTGATTTTAAATATAAATCAGAAATAACCAACTTAAAATGGAAAATTTTAAAAGAAACAAAAAAGGAAAAAAAGAAAAAAAAGGGAAAAAAAATAAATCCCCCCCCAAAATTTTTTGAACCCCCATTATGATTCATCACCCCCAAACTCAATCCCAGCCTTCCCTTTGTGGTATGGTACCTTGCAGTACAATTTCAGAGAGATCCATACACTTGAACACAAGTTATTGTCTGGAAACTAGAAAAATGCTTATTTTTGGCCCCTTTTTGGCCCCTTATTCCTAAACGTTTTGGGCAATTACCCCCAAACTCAATTCCAGCTTTCCCTTTGTGATATGGAACCTTGTAGTACAATTTCAGAAAGATCCATACACTTACACACAAGTTATTGTCATGAAACTAGAAAAATGCTTGTTTTTTGCCCCTTTTTTGGCCCCTAATTCCTAAAATTTTGAGGCAATTACCCCCAAATCAATCCCAGCATTCCTTTAGTGATATGGAACCTTGTGGTACAATGTCAGAGAGATCCATACACTAACACACAAGTTATGTCTGGAAGTTACAAAAATGCTTATTTTTGGCCCCTTTTTGGCCCCTAATTCCTTTACTGTTATTACCATAACCCCCAAAATCAATCCCAACCTTCCTTTTGTGGTATTGAACCTTGTGGTAAAATTTCATAAAGATCCATTTACTTAAACTAAAGTTAGAGTGCGAAAACCAATGTGTCTTCAGACGACGCCGGACGACGCCGACGACGACGACGCCGGACGACGACGACGCCAACGTCATACCAATATACGACCACAAAAATTTTTTTGCGGTCGTATAAAAACAGGTGCAAGTGAAACAATAATTAATAGCACTATATAAAAGATTGCTTGTATTTACCAAAATAAAGCCTTGAGCTGAACTCTGCATCAACTTAATATCCAGCTTATTTTAACTGTGCTGTGAACTTGTGTGTAAATTACAAAATAAAAGTTTACCAGCAGTTCTTCCACTGTTGTGTTACATTTCTCCAAGTTTATTCTCTTTATAGCAACTCTCTCATTTCTAGGTTTACAAATAGCTCCTTGTACAACAGCAGTAGCACCAGCACCTACAAGTTAAAGCAATATAATAACCAAAGAAACCTAAATCTGAAATAATACACTAAAAGTAGCTTGAAAATCTGTGCTCAAGCATGTCAAGTGTACATACACCTTTATATTCCTTTGTATACACTATACACAAAATTCAGATGTGAATTTAGCCATTCATGAAGAAACAAATAAACAAAAACACATTCTAAATCACTTTAATTTTAATTCATTTTATATAAATAAATATATGCTGTTAACACATGGTTAAGTTAATATTCAGCATGATAAACAATTAATAGGTGTATATAATTGTCATTTGAAACTTTCCTTTTTTTAAGGGGGCCTGTTGACAGAATTTTGTTGACATTTTCTGAATTTTTGGCACAAAAATTAATACATTCAGACTGTGAATGAGGTGGCATTCTTTATAATAAATTCTTGTGCAGCAGTACTTCCCCTTACCTAGTAAATATATAACCACCCTCCATTAGCTGCACTAGTGGACAACTACTTCAGCTCAACTAGAAGAGCAATTGGTTACAGTGTCAGGGGTCCAGGAATCAAATCCGAGCTGGTACAGTTAGTAATTAATTTTGGAAGGCAAATCATGCCCTCCATTTACAAAATTGGTGCCAACAACAAAACCCAGTTAGAAAAATTATACCTAGGATTGGGATGTGATGAAGATATCATACTTATAGTATAATGAATTTTGAGGTGGAGGGGGGTGAAGCAGTGCTTCCCCTTACCTAATATGTATATATATACTAAATATAGTGGAGTACTCCTTTAGCTCTGCTGGTAGAGTCGTGGCTTATACGGTCCCAGGATCAAAACCATGATGGTATAGTAATTAATTTTGGAAGGCAAACCGTGCTCTCCGGTAATACTAGTTAACTTAAAGGGTTAAGCCTTAAGGAAGAAGATGCTCAACAGAAGTATTTCTGGAAGACAATATTGGAAAAATCATTTTTATATATGAAAATATGTACCATTAAAAGCAGAATAGATTATTACGCACTGTAATTGTTGTTTGTGTTAAACATTCAATGATGAGCAGAAAAACATATTTATACTATAAAAAAAATATATAGGTCAGTTGAAAAAAGGAGGGTGGGACATTATGTCAAAGCGGGACGTTATCATTTGCATTATTTGCAACACAGAATGTTGTATTTATTCATGTACCAATGACATCTTTCAGCTCGTAATCGTCTTTTGTATTAGGCCAGGGAGCCTTTTCCTCAGTTGTCTGAATGGGTTTTTCTGCCATGATCAAGATTGACCTTGACCTATGTCTACAGGGGAGATAACGTATCAAACCGGAAATGAATTAAAATGTTCAAGAAAAGTGGACATGCAGAAATAATACGATCTCATCAAAAAGACGAATTTTACATCGGATATTTGAAGTCACAAATTACAGATATATCACAAGCATTACTTGGTACGTCATCAGTTTAGCTGTCAGTCGTTAGATTTCTAAATATCCTGATCTTTTGGTCATGATAGTATTGAACATCTTCGCTAGCCAAGGATTGAACACCTTTGGCTGTTTAATTACAATAAAAATATAAAAGATATACCGATAAGTAAATCTACACTTTGAGCTTATATAGTTCGATTGGTCTGAATTAATTCGATTGAGCTAAAAAAATATTATCTTATAACACTTTTCAAATTCTGCTGTACTTGGAAGTCGATGTACATGATGTATAGACGCCTTTCCAGTTCATGCACTTTCCGCTAAATTTCTTACGTCACAATGCTCATGTTATTAGGTCACAGTAAGAAAGTAAGGACAGATTGTTTGATGATGTCATTTACACCAATTGACCTGCCTGCCTCTGGTCAACTGGTTATTCATTCATTAAAAACAATGAGATTACTTTAGGTTTATTGGTTTATAGACCTATGTTGAGTTTTTTATGCCCCCGTCGCAGCGGAGGGGACATTAAGTGTAAACATTGGCTGTCTGTACATCCCGAAATTGGTTTCTGTTCTCTAACTTAAGTTTGCCTCGACCAAATGTTATGAAACTTATACACTAGCATGACTAGGGAATACAACCTTAAATTGTTTAATGTATGCAGATGACATAACTTTAATGTCTCAAACCAAAGAAGGGCTACAAAACTGTTTATCCTCATTGGAACTTTATTGTAAAAAATAGCAATTATCATTGAATATTGAAAAAACTCAAATAGTAGTGTTTAATAAATCAGGTAAATTATTGAAAGACTGTAACTTTTATTTTGGTCAAAATCTCATCAAAAGAGTTCAAGAGTATAAATACCTAGGTATTATAATGAGAGCATCAGGTTCTTTCAGTACTGCAGTTGAAGATCTTAGTAAGAAAGCTCTTAAAGTAATTTTCATGATTAAACATAAATTTCATTGTACACATAATAATACACCTTTGCTCTTAAAACTTTTTGACTCCCGTGGTAAACCTGTACTATATGGAAGTGGTTTGTGGGGTCCGTAAATTCTTAACCTGGACAAAAGATTTACACCAGGTTCAAATGATGATTTTAGAAAAAACTTTTTTAAATTTTGCACCTGGAAAGGTTCACATTCGATATTGTAAATTTGTACTTGGTGCCACTAAATATGCTTCTAATATTGCCAGTATGGCAGAACTTGGTCGTTACCCAATTTCTATATTTGTTATTTTGCAGTCTCTTAAATACTGGCTATATTTGTATAAAGACCCTCTTTTCAATTTTTCAAAACTAGCATATATTAAAGTTAATCAAAGATGTTGATTGTACCTTTCCATGTACCTTTAACAAACACATTTTTCAATTTCTAAAATTCATCGGTTTTGACCATTTCTGGAATAATAAAGGAACACTGTCAGAAGAAAAACTCATATCTGCAGTGAAAAAAAGATTACAAGAAAGATATGAAAAATATTTTTTCTCATGTTTATCAGGTGAAAACTAAAACAAATTACGTACATATTACAAGATGAAAAAGGAAAATAAACCTGAGACTTATACAAAGTTGAATATCTCAAAACAATATATTAGACAGTTCTGTAAATTAAGAATTTCTAACCACAATTTACACATCGAAAAAGGCAGATATAATAATACGCCTTTGGATCAAAGAATATGTAAACATTGTATTGATAACAAAATTGAAGATGAGTTTCATTTTATATGTGAATGCAACCTCTATCAAGACGATAGGAAAAAGTTTAATGATTACATTGTTAATATTATACCATGTTTTTGTAATTGAGATAATTTTGATAAATTTAGATATTTAATGAACTGTTCGGAGACTGATGTTCTCAACAGATTTCTTTTATATATAGACAAATGTATCATGATTAGAAATTCATCAGTGGGAATAATTGCATAATATTGATGTGGGTGTTTTGTCTATTGTTTGTTATACGTCACACTATTGCTGTCTCTTTTTTGTTTATTTTTTTCTATGTTTTCATGTATTTCAGCGATGATCCTTTTGTACTGGATTTTATACTGAATAAAATTAGTTAGTTAGTTAGTTAGTTACACAATGCTAATTACCACAAAACACAGATCAAGTTTGAATTTGGGTGATGTTACTTTTATCATTCTTGAGTTGTGTTATATGCAAGCAGGGACGTCATCTGTGTCCAATGGACAAATTCTCCATTTATTTTTAATGAATGAGTTTCGCTGGTTGGCTGAGAGAGCAAAAAGTTAGATTAGCAAACATTTTGAATTTTTTACAGTTTAAGAACCAGTTATTTAAAGATAGATTGACATAAAAATGGTTGTTTTGGAGAGTGTAAGATGGATTAAACATGTCTATGCACATGTAATATTTAAACAGGGTCAAAGGTTGTTTCAACTGGTTTGTGACGTCATGAAAAGTTGTGTAATTTCCGAATTTATCTGGATTGCCATAAATACCAATATCAAGGTCTATTGTGACATAGGAATTGTACATAAATTCTAAAGTAGTCGATATATCTTATGCTGTACCTGCTGTACTGTACATATTTGTGATTTGTATTGTAATTGGACTCAATCTTGTACATGGAGATTGGAAGGTCAACATTTAACATATTGATATCTTCCAGGACCTAGAAATTGGATTAAATGGAGAAAAGAACTTGATTTGTTTGCAGATCTTGGTTACTTTACCCTTACAACTTTTGCAGGTAACTTAAAACTAATTTAAACTTTTGTTTATTTTTATTCTTGCTGCATATTGTATCAGAAATCATCTTTTGTTAACCCTTCACATTAGACATCAGACATTTTGTTTATACTTTGTCTAAAGATTGTCCACGAGATCATCAATATATAATCTTCAACAATAGGCAGATTTCTCTACAAGATGTCAAGCTCTTAATCATGCTGAATTGAAAAAAGTAGTGAATAAGACTATGGAAGATCTTCCATCAATATGAATAAAAGAAAATACGTGTTTAGCAACCCTATGACAAAAATGAACAGATGACATTTAGATGTCAACATACAGTCCTTAACAAGAGACAGGTGTCTAAACAATATGTCAGGCTCTTAACTGTCCTTAGTCTATCAAAGTTGTAAAGAATTAAAACAATCAAAGATCTACCGTCAACACCATGTTCTCAATATTAAAAACCAACATTACAATGTGATGTAATATAAAGACTGACAAGGTTCCTGGTGATCAGGCACATGAATATGTTTAGGGTGTCAACAAGTTTTCTGAGGACTCAACCCTCCCCTCTTAAGTCTCAATCAGTGGACAAGATGTGATGTGATTTAATGGTTAGATTTCGTCCAATCACACATCTTACAAATAGAGATTACACTATTGAACAACTTAAAATTTGCATTTTACAATTTAGTTTGAAGTAAAATCATGAAAATATATAAAATTTTGACTTTTCCTAATAATACATGAAAAGGGATAAAAAGAATCGCCAAAAATACCTCATAGTACAACAGAATACATCAGACTTCTCTGACAAAAACACATATGAACAACCAACAACAACACATGGCCCAGTTAGCCTGACTGGTTGAGAATTCAGGCATTCCTTGTTTATTGCTCAGGATACAAATCATTTTTGTGAAACAATTCTCTACTGTTTTGTAGGATTTCAGACAATTGGAGAAGAATATGTCAACATTATACAAGTTGACAATACTTTAAGGGCTATACCATCAAGATTTGTAAGGTTTATTTTAGTATAGAAACATGATATACACATACACATTATATTAATTGTCTTAATAATATTGTTGTTTTTTACATACATCAATCATTCTTTTCAATTTATTATCTTTGTTGTAATAGTTTCCTAATAGAAAAAAAGAGTGGGAATTTAAAAGAGAACCAAGAATAAAAGTTTTCATGTAATAATGTTTAAAGATCTGTAAAATAAGTTAAATTCAGCCAAAACAAACGGGCATGAAACACCCAACATTATTTAGTTTGGAAAAGTTTTTAAACCAGCAAAATTACACAATAAGCAAATTGAGAAATAAAAGAATATCAATTTTCATGTAATGATGTTTATACATGTATATATTTTTATGTAATGATGTGTATATATATTTTTTCTAATGTTTTCTTTACTTTTATTTAGAGAAGAATTTTTATGATCTTGATTCATGTTTTAACACCATACGCCCTACATAAAGTGATAGACTGGTTTGAGAAATGGTTGAAATCACCAGTTCGCCATGATGAAATACCAGCAGAAACAAAACATTTTCTACTGAAATGTGTACCAGTTATAAGACAGACTGTCACCTTTCTCCATCGATGTCACCTGGCTTTGTTTTACTTCCAAGGAGTGTTCTATCACATAGCCAAGAGAATATCTGGTGTCAACTACGTAAATATTGTTTTATATGAATTCTTACCGTCTACTCATTTGAGTTCAGACTTCTATTGCATTTTGTACTGAATAATGTCCAGCACTATATATAAAAAGATTAAGAAAATGTGGTATGATTGCCAATGATACAACTTTCCACCAGAGACCAAATGACGTAGAAGTTAACAACCATAGGTCACTGTACGGCCTTCAACAATGAACAGAACCCATACCGCATATTAAGCTATAAAAGGCCCTGAAATGACAAATCTAAAACAATTCAAACCAGAAAACTAATGGCTCAATTTATGTACACAGCTATGATATACAGCAACAAACAACAACCACTGAATATAATTTACCTGTCAGGCCAACAGGTAAATCTAACAACCAGTTAACCATGTTAACTGTGATAGTAACTATTTGTGTGAGGAGGTATTTAATCAGGGCTTTTTTTATAGTAATTACTCCTCATGTCACTTTTATGACCAGAAAA